TTTTGATGGGGTTGTTTACTTCATTTTTGTTGAGTTTCATCAGTTCTCCGTATATTTTTGTGATCAGTCCTTTATCGCTACTTTTGTGTGAGAAAATGCCTAAGACACTCCTTTTTATCATCTTGTGGTTAAAGGTGATAAAATATAACATAGTTTGCTATCATGCACTTTGCCAAAAACATTATGTGCACCTTCAAAATAATTTATCCATACGTCTGTCATTTCAAAAATTGACAAATGTTTAAATAAGACTTTGATAGATGCAAGATAAGTAAATGAATGTTCCCCCCACACCCCCAAGGAAAAGGAAAATCTTCATTGTACTTATTCTACTTATGAAATTTTGGTTCCATATCAGTTAATTTTGCAGCTCGGTTGATTGAAACATTGAATTCCAAGCAACTTAATTTCTAATTTATCAGGTTTCAAGTTTGTAAACTCTTAGTATATTCAAAAACTATGGTGATTCAAACATTTTTCCCACTTCAGTTAGTTTACCAGAGATTTTCAGTGTGTCTTAATTGCTTACATAATAACAGATTAGAGTGGGCCTCAGAGAGACATTTGTAGTCTGTTTTTTTTTGGCAACTTTCATTACATGCTCCCATTCATACCAGGTTTTGTCATTGCATATGTTGTTATTCAGACACTTTACCTCCCTGTTCTTTTTTGAGCCATGCATTTATTTATAGAATTTGTTATCACTCTCATATCTACCTGTTGTTCAGTCTGCACACTCAATCAGAAATTCTACCCTCTCCCAATATTTCATATTCCTACTCATCTTTGTGGGTACTTTACATACGACATCTATATGACATCTTTACATATGACATCTAAGTGCATATGACATGCATTTCATATAATGACATTTTTTATAAAGATTTATTTATTCATACAGAACTGGGATACAGGCTAGAGATACGGAGGGTGAGAGGATTCACCAGAGACAGAGTGGGGAACAGAACAGGCAGATCTACGAAGTACACTGCTGAGGGGAGCAGCGGGCGGGCCAGAAGAGGTCTGCCATACCATGTGGATTTCCTCTGGGGCAGGCGGGGATCGAACTCATGCGGAAGTGGCTTAAGCCTCTCAGTGCAGTGCTTTAACCCGCTGCGCCACAAGGGAAGGCCTGTAATTACATTTTTATTCAAGGTCTTTCATACTTCATACTTTAATGCGTCCTCTGGGTCTGATAGCATTTTACTCATGTCTTTATTATAATTTTATAATGAGTTGTTTACATATCACATTTCCCTTCCTTTAATTAGATTGTAAACTCCAGAGCAGGAATTTATTCATCTGTTATCATACTGCTCCTACTATAGTGCTTTATATATAACAGATATCTAAAATGTTTTAATGGAAAGGAATAATATTCCAAAAAAGATGAAATAGAAAATATGCAAAGGTGGGAATGGTAATATTGATAAGAAAATTAGCAGTTTAGTAAGGAAAGTAGTAAGTTTCAGAACAACTGTTTTTATAAATCTAATTATCATCATTGCTGGCTAAACCACTGTGCTTAATGAAGTGTGCAACAAGGCAGTTTACAGGGCATGTAAGAATAACGGCTATTATATGGGAAGAATGCATAACTGGTCTTAAGTTGAATGCATTCTGACTTGAATTCTATCTTTTACCTCAGGAAAACATCCTTTCTGATATTTTACTACTACAATGAACTTCTGTGAGATTTTATGCATGATAAATATTCAGTTTCCTGTTCTTAAGTAACCAAATACTTAGTGATTTGTAATTAGTTGTTTAGTTGGTCAAGACAGAATTTCAAACTATTAGAGAGGATGCAAGTTTATAGTTGTGGCTCAATGCAAAATTCACAAAAATGTTTATTGTAGCAGAATTTTGCTACACATTTATTAGTTCTTATAGTAATTGAAAAAAGGAAGACTATAATAATACAATATTAAATCAATCTAATATGTTTTGAGTTTGACATTGACTTTTTTTAAAAATTTAAATTACTAGATCACAGTTGAAAACTTTGGTGCAACAGAAGTGAAAGAGCTGGTTCTAAATGGTGCAGACACAGCTGTTAACAAACAAAATCGGTAAGTGTCTTATAGCAGTGGCAGTAATAAGATCCAGTAGACATTTTAATTCTTTACAAACATGTCACAGTATTACATTTTTTATTCAGATAAAACTTTGAGTTCATAGTGAGGAAGTAGTCTGCTTTTTGCTTTTGAAGTCCCTTTAATATTAATAAAGGGATAAAAGATTATAAAAAGAATAAAAAAGGGGAAATTTTACAATAGCAAACACATTTTTGGAAGCTAGAAAGCAGTGGTAGCCAATCAGAGAATGCTGCCACATAGAATGAACTGGGTGGATTCAAGCAGGTAGCCAGTTTCTAATGCAGAATGACGGGTTAAGCATTGACAATAAATAATTAGAAAATGTATGGGGTTTAGTGGAATGTTAGAAACAGAGAGATTGGCCATTACCAGAAATATTAGAAATCCACTTTGATATTATTTTCCTTAGTAATCCAGTAGCCTGTCAACTTGCCCTCTCCAGCATGAGCTCATGCTTGAAATTTACCTTCAGTAAGATGGAACTAGAAGGACTATGGATTTGAGCACCACTAGCAAAGCCAGGGCTAAGGGCTGAACTGGAAAGAGGGAAATTGAAAGTCTGTGTCTTCCTCTTTCTTTTCAATATATTGGAACAAACTGTCTATTAAATGTGAATGGATAGCCAGAGGTAAATAGACATATAAGAAAAGATCAAAAGAGTCAAAAATAATATCAAGGAAACAGAAGCAATGCAGGATAATGAACAGAACTTCAAAAGAAACTGAAATCAGTATCCTCAAAATGGTAAGAATGGCATCAATATGAGTGCTGCTAAAAATTGAAAAATAATGGCATGAAAGAAAAATTTGACAAATAAATATACTAAAAACTTTGCAGAACTAAATGACATATATTTGAAGATTGAAAACATGGGAAGTGGAAAAAATATGGCAAGGAAAAATACATGAAATTTTAAAATCTGAAAGAAACAATGATCTTAAAGCCTTCTATTAAGTAAAAATATACATTAAAATACATAAACACACACAAAGATATATAAAGTTTAGAATCAGAATAATATCAGAATGATAGAGAAGCTAGGAGATTAAAATTCTGGGAGAAAAATTTTAAATTAAAATTCTATATCACAATGAAATATGTGGGTTTATAAAAACATTTTCCTATTTGCAATCTCAGAGAATTTATTTTCGATGCATTTCTCTCAGTATGTTACTAAGAGATGTATTCCAACAAAATAAGGAATAAAACCAAGAGAGAGGAAGACATGGAATTAAAAAATATATATATATAGGAGAGAGTCAAAGTGAATTTCGTTTGAAGGAACAGCAATGTGAAAGTTTTGTTCACATTAAATGTCAACAATAAATGCTGAACCAGAAATTGTTAATAATATAAGCCTTTAGGAGGCAAGGTGAGAGTGGAGCAGTTAAAAGCCTCACCTCTCACAACATTTAGTGCATTTGACAATATTTAAAAATGAAAATAGCAAAATGTTAACAAATAGTTGCCCTCATATAGTGGAAATTTCTGGTGGAAAGGTACAGACAAAACTATTCTGTTGTAATTCTTAAACAAATCTAGTTTGGTAGCTGTTGCCAGGGACTTGATTCAGATAATTATAAACTTGATTCTGCTAGTTAAAGTTTGTAACTGTAGGTAAATTAGTTGATAGCTCCATGCCTCAGTTTCTTTTTCTGTAAAATAAGAAAATATGTTCCTACTCCTGGGATTATTTTGAGGATTAAATGAGGCAAAAATTTTAAGGTGGTTAGAATAGTATCTAGCATGTGGATGTGCTCAGTAAATGCTGGCTGTTAGCACTATTATTGACATTTTAAACTGCATATATGTTACTTTGATAAAAATAGTTTTTAAAATGTGAAAAGTATTAGATCTTTCTGCTTATCCTTTAAAAAATTTGTTTTGAAAAATTGATAGATTTATTTTCAGCTTTTAAAGTTCTTATTGGACTAAATATTATTTTATGTAGAAAGCATTAACAACACTTAATACTGGAAGGAAAGGGAAATATATTTTTATTTTATACTACCTAGTTAGATAATGAAAATGTTGGAGGAAGAAAAAAACCCATATTACCACATAAATTATTTAGCCATCATGCTTAAGGGACTTAACTAGCTTGGATAAATTTAGTTTTCTAATTAGATGAGTTATGAGTAACTTTTATATATATTACATCATTATGTCATCAGAACCTTACAGCACATACTATGAATTTTTCCTTAGACCCAATTAATTTTATAGTCTACAGTGTAACCTTTAGAATTTCAGTTTGGAATTATTTTATAATTTGTTAATTATTATATAATTTATAATACTGGTGGCCAAATTTTCCAGTATCCCCATTTAAACATCTTTTTTTTTTTTTTTTTTTAAAGATTTATTTATTTGTGCATACAGAACTGGGGTACAGGCCAGAGGCTCAGGGGCAGTGAGAGGCTTCACCAGAGACAGAGTGGGGAATAGAACAGGCAGATCGACAAGTACACTGCTGAGGGGAGCAGTGGGTGGGACAGGAGAGGTCTGCCACACCATGTGGTCACCTCCGGGGCAGGCGGGAATCGAACTCATGCGGAAGCAGCTTTAAATTCTCAGTGCTGTGCTTTAACCTGCTCCGCCACCAGGGAGGGCCTAAGCATCATTCTTTTTTAGTTTGGAAGACAAGAATATAAAACGTTGAAATCCTCTAGGACCTAATCTCATCATTTGACTAAAGAGAGTTGTATAAAATGTGGCTAACAGAACAAATTGAATAAAATTATAGTTCTCATTAGTTGATAACAGTACTTCCTTTTTTTCCTTTAGCTTTCTTTTGTATCATAACAGTCAAAAAAGCATCAAAACTTCTTTGCCTATATGTGTGTAGCTTTATGGACATACACTTGAAAAGAATCTGTACTTGTAATTTTTAATGATTTTTCTAATAAAAGAATGCTTAATACCTCTATTGGGTAGTTTTTGAAATAAATTTTTCTCAGATTCCTTGAAAACCAAGGAAAAACAATGTGTTTTGTCAAGTAGTTTGAATTTCCAAACTCTCTTTTCTTTCATCATACTAATAATTATAACAGATTGCTGTTATTAGGGATTAAATACTTAGTAATGCATAGTATATGAAGATTTTTAAATTATTTGTATGGCCATTGACAATATGATTGTTCTTATTAGGAAATGACATGTTCCACCTAGGAAGTCTAACAATGGTTATGAATGGTAAAGTCTACATGCCTCATAGAGACTGGAATTTTTTTTATGGAAAGAAGAATAAACTTTTATAAAGGCTTTGCCTCCTTTGAGCCCTACTTCATACTTTCTCAGTTTTGTAGCTAAGTAACAAAAAGAGCATTCTCTGTAAAAATATTTATGTTCTGTGCATTTGTGTTTTTCATTTCTAGACAGGAGTTCGTTGATGCTTATGTGGATTACATATTCAACAAATCAGTGGCTTCCTTATTTGATGCTTTTCATGCGGGATTTCATAAGGTCTGTGGAGGAAAAGTCCTTCAACTCTTCCAGCCTAATGAACTACAAGCAATGGTTATTGGAAATACAAATTATGATTGGAAGGAACTGGAAAAGGTAGGGGGAAACAAATTTGTGATGGTAACTAAGTGGAAAGGAAAGAAGAAAAAACATGGCTTATTGAAGGAAATCTTGCCCTCTTGTTTTCTGTTTCACACTGTTTATTTACTCAATAGGAAAGCAGTGTACCCTTCTTACTCCACATTGAATTAACTTTAATTATGTGTGAATTAGGGATATTTTTTTTTCTACTTGTGATATAGGTGTGGTATCACATGGAAAAATGTCATTATGCCAGCAGTGGGATAGAAAACATAACTAAATTTGAATGGGTTTTCATTCTGCCTAGAAAAACTTTAAGAAAAAACACTTAGTACTGAAGATCTTAGTTTCTTTTCTTCTTTTTTGGTTAAGCTCAATGTAAATTTTAGCAGCACATGATTTTCATTGGTACCTTAGCTAAAAAAGAAAACTTAAGGGAGGGGATTAGAAATTTTCGAAAAACTTCTCTCTCTTTCTCCATATAAGTAATTCTCAGATATTTCTTCAGATAAACATTAAATAAAAGTGCTGTGTTTGATCAGCTTTGAGAAGGATAAGCATAGTTGGCCTATAATTTTTTTGTCTTTTTAATATAGCAACCTTTGAAATGATTATTGCATTAATAATTCCATATTTTGAACCTAGTAAGTTAGCCAACATAAATTGAACTAAGATATAAAGCATAGGGAACTCATATTGCTGGTGGAAATACTAGTGGTACAAACATATTGGAAAAGTTTCTTTTTTTTAAATAAAGTAGATGTAAAAGGTGGTACAAACACATTGGAAAAGTTCCTTTTTTTTAAATAAACATACTTGCTATAATACTAAACAGTTTCATTCCTAGGCATTAAGTAATGTTTACACAAAAATCTGTAAGTAAGGGGAATATGGGAAGTTACTTAATGTGTGGTACAGAGTTCAGTTTTGAAGATGAAAAAAGTTCTGGAGCTGGATGGTGGTGATGGTTGTACAATCTTACAATGTACTTCATGCCACCAAACTGTATACTTACAAGGGATTAAGGTGGTAAACTTTGTTAAGTATATTTTACCACAATTCATTTTATATTGTTTTTTAAAAAATTACAAATGAGTCAAGAACTGGAAACAAGCTAGATGTCCTCCGGTGGATATATCAATATCATATATACATGCAGTAGGAAGCTACTGAGCAAAACCAAGAAATGCACTATTCATACATGCAACAACTAGAAGAATCTGAGTCTCTGTGCTCAGAGAAACCAGTCTCAAAAGATTACATATCACATAATTTCATTTATGTGACATTCTTAAAAAGACATTCAGGGTGGTCAGCAGCTAGGAATGGAGGAGAGTGTACTGCATTGAGGTAGCACAAGAGAATTCTTTTCATGGTAGAACTGTTTGGTATTCTGATAGCGATAGTACTATACAAATATATACATGTGTTTAAAACTCAGAGCTATACATACACCACAAAAAGTTGATTTTACTGTATACTTAAGGAATAAAATTTAAAAGTTAAACATTTCAGATTTCTGGTTAAATATAGAGATGTAATAACATTTACTTCTACTCTTTCCCAAAGTCACACTAGAATGATAATAAAGGAATAAAAATAGGAATATACAGATTAAAAAATATAAATAATGAGCTAAAGAAGAAATTGTTTTGGAAGATAGAAAGTAGGTGGATGTGTTGAGGAGTTACTTGACTAGAGACAGCTTAAATTCTAAACTTTTGATGGCCTGGGTTGTCAAGGTAAAACCTCATTTTTATACCACACTCTGAAAGGTTTGGAAATTGTACACTGTATTACTGTATTGCTAGGGGTACATCCAGGAAGGATTAGGCTGAAAGCAATAGTTATTTCAAAGCTAATTTAAGGAATTTATAGGTCCCTATTTCCTTTTCTCCTATACAACAAAATACAAATCAGGAAGAGGGACTTTAGTCTGAGAAACCAGGTAGAAGAAGTGAGGATGTCACTTAGAAAGCTGATTGCCTGACTTAAATCCTCTAAAAAAGAGATTAAAAATTTCTTTTGGGGGCCCTCCCTAGTGGCGCAGCAGGTTAAAACAGCACTAAGACGCTAAAGCCACTTCAGCATGAATTTGATCCCCACCCTGGGGGTGACCCATATGGCACCGCAGACCTCTCCTGACCTGCCCACTGCTCCCCTCAGCCATGTTCTCCTCCCCACTGTCTCTGGTGAATCCTCTCATTGCCCCTGCACCTCTGGCCTGTACCTCAGTTCTGTGTGCATAAATAAATAAATCTTTAAAAAAAAATTTCGTTTGTGGGATAAATTGATCTTTAAGAAAGCTATAGATCAAACTGAGTTTGAATCCCCATGAAAAAGGAATATCTCTAGTCACCCTAAAGTGAAGAAGATATTAATATAGTGGCCTCCCATTATAGTTTGACCCTACATAATTTGTCCTTCTTGCCTCACCCATCATTCTTACCCTGACTCTCTTTGCTACAGCATTACTGACCCCTTTGCTGAAAATAGAACCCTACAGGATCACCTCAGTCTTGGGACCTTTCTATTTCTGTACCCTGTGCCAGGAATTTTCCACAGTTGAATTCTTGCTCTCACTTCCTTTATGTTTTTATACTTCTCAGAGACCTTGTCCTGTACAGCCTACCTGAAACGCACATTTACATATGTCTACACACACTCCTTACTTCTCCCTCCTGCTCTATTTTTTTTTATTTCACAAAAGTTTATTTTTACATCATTTTGCATATTTTCTTTTTTCCATCTCATTTGTAATCCCTGCGGGTTTCCCACCTCTTGCTCTATTTTTTTTTTTTAAACTTGAATTTATTATAAATTTCACTTGTCTTCACTCTCCTTTTCCTTCACTGCAATGTAAACACCACAGGGCAGAATTGTTGTCTCTTTGTTAGAAGAGCACTCAGTGATTAGTTAAACCCTTGCCCAAAAATATAACTAACAGAATGTTCAGTCAGTAACACTATGTTTATTTATTTAATGCAGGTCATACTTATTGACCCCATTTAAATAAATTAGAAATTCAAAAAGTTTTATATCTGATTCATTATAATTTCAATGACTGTAATTTATGACTTTAAAAATTTTTTTGTTCATCCAAACTGTGCACACTAAAATCATATAAAGGCATTTTTAAAAAAGGAGAATATTGGCCCAGTGTTCTTTCATTCCCCACTAGCATTCTCTCAGACTAATTCAAACAAGCAATACATTAACTGAATGCAGGGATTCAGGCTATCTTTTCCAAACCTGTTTGTAATCTAATATATATTTTGTAATTTCAGTTGTTCAGTCATTAAGATATTCATGGCTAAAAATAGAGAAAGTTTAAAGTTAATCAGTTCATTAGCAAATATTTATTGAGCTTCTTCGGACTACCTAATACTATGTAAGAGATTAGGAAGACAATAGTAAATCAATTCAAACATGGTCTTTGAGGCCTTTTAGTATGAAGGAGAGTTTAGGGCATGTTATACATGTAGGCTCATAAATCTGGGCAAGCTTTTCACTAGAGGGTATTCTAGCACAAGGTAAGTAAGGACTTCACTCACTGAATTTTCCTTAAAGCCTCCAATTTAGGCTAAACCTCTGTTTGTTGTATGGATTAAAAAGTGAGTAAGCTAACATTTAATCTTAGCCTTAAATAGAAATTTCCTAATGAGCAGAGAGGAGAATTTGTCTTAAGTGGGCTAAAGTGAGGGAATAATGTGTACACAGCACCAGATACAAGATGATTCTTGCTAAGAACCAAAAGTTAAAGACAACTGTAGTTGAATTTTAAAGAACATTTCACAGTCCACACTGTGGACGTATTCCCTCTTCTTTCACTTTTTCCTCATAGTGCTAATTTTTTTTTTTTAAGATTTATTTGTGCATACAGAACTGGGGTACAGGCCACAGGTGCAAGGGCAGTGAGAGGATTCACCAGAGACAGGGCGGTGAGGTGAGAGGATTCACCAGAGACTGGGCAGTGAGGTGAGAGGATTCACCAGAGACAGAGTGGGGAGCAGAACAGGCAGATTGATGAGGTGGGTCAGGAGAGGTCTACTGTTCCATGTGGATCACCTCCAGGGCAAGGGGGGATTGAACTGGAAGTGGCTTTTGCTTCTTAGTGCTGTGCTTTAACCTGCTGTGCCACCAGGGAGGACCCAGTGCTAATAATTTTTAAAGGGGAAGTACACTTAGTTCTTTTTTTTTTTAATTTTTTCAATTTATTTTTACATCATTTTTTATTTTGTGCCAGTTCTATTGCTGCAGGTTACCCCAAAATTTAGTGGCTGAAAAACAATGAATCTTTATCCTCTCAAAGTTTCTATGAGTTAGAAAGAAATTCAATAATGTCTGGGCTCAGTTGTCTATCAAGACTTAAGGGTAGTTTCCTTTCCAAGATGGTTCACTCACATAGCTGTTGTCTAAACAACCTCAGTATCTGACCTGAGGACTTGAGTGTCTCAAAATCGCAAATGACTTCCCTCTACCCTTCCCTCAGATTAAAGGTTGAAGCCACAGAATTAATTGATCTAGCTTCAGATGTTAGTATTTCTCACATCTGCAATATCCTCATGATTACAAAGGTCAGGCCTATTTGTTGTGGGAGGGAGCTATTCAACGGTATGGTTAGCAGGAGACAGATAACAGTGTCACCATGGAAAAGGATTAGCACAGAAAATTATTAGTGTTGTTTTTAGTGCCATTTTTTAAAAATGGGTAGTAGAATGAAAAAATAATTGGCTTGAATTCTGATCATGAATATGGAAACTGTTTTTCACAGGTAATTTCATGTTGAACTTCAGTAATAAAACATTTTAGTAATTTATCCTTTTGCTAATTACTTTCATAGATAATATAATCCTATCATGTTCTTTGATGTGGTGGGAAGGCATTTCTGCTGATGTGTATATATTTTCTTCCTTTTCCCTCAGAAATAATAGTTCTAAATTGCAAAATGTCCAGGAATGGTAGGTAATCAACTGAATCACAGTAGTCTCAAACTCCTGGACAACTACATGCTAAGGAATCCAATTTATCAAATTCAACACATAACTAATACTCTTTAATATTAATAAAAGGTTATGTTTTTTTAGAATACAGAATACAAAGGGGAGTATTGGGCAGAACATCCTACAATTAAAATGTTTTGGGAAGTATTTCATGAATTACCATTGGAAAAGAAAAAACAATTTCTGTGTAAGTATTTCCAACTAGTTCTCTTTTATAACAATGAAGTCTAATAAACATATTCTCATGGAAATTTATTTACTTTGGTAGATAAGACTTTTTTCAAATTATTTTTTATTATTCCAAGGTCCTGTTTCTAATTTTCAATGAGGGTAATTCTTGAAGTCTATACTTTATTATATGTATTTTATTTTGAAAGATAAATTCAGTCTAAAATAGAATTGGTCCTTATGACAGCATACTATATACTGAGTTTAGTAAACTAAGGTCTGGAGCATAGATCTTCTCTATGTTCAGTCTTCATTTTTGTTTTTCTACTTCAGCACCAAAACTGGGAAGTTCTATAGAAAGTAGAACTTGTCTTTTCCAAGACTTAGTTTTATTCATAACTCAATCTGTGTTTTTCCATCTGTTAAAAATCTGCATTCTAGTTGAAATTCTACTCTTGCCATTGTCAAGAATATCTTTGTTAATCTTATTTTGATAGATGATACATGAATCCTTCACATGCAATGAGTATGTCATTCTTTGAAAGTGATTTGAGTTTTCTGGCTGCTGTTTTATTTTTATTTTTATAATAGTTTATCTTTACATTATTTTGTGCCTTTTACATCTCAGTTGTAATCCTGTGGGCTTCCCATCACCAAATCACCTGTGTGCCATCACCATAGTCCTGTGATCACCCCCTCCATTTTTGATCCCATTCCCTACTCCACTTCTATAAATGTCTCTGGTATATAGTTCATTATTTTTTTTCCACCCTGGTTCTTTATGTTCCTGCGATGAGTGAAACCATCCAGCATTTTTCTTTTTCTTTTTTTGGCTTATTTCACTAAGCCTGATCCCTTCCAGCTCCATGCATGTTGTTGCAAAAGGCAAGAGTTTGATCTTTTTTGATTGCTGAGTAATATTCCATTGTGTATATGTACCACATCTTTTTAATCCAGTCATCTACTTTTGGGCATTTGGGTTGATTCCATGTCTTTCCTATTGTAAAGAAAGCATTGGCTGCCCATGTTTACCTTTTTGTTTAAAAATGACAAACATTTCTGATATTCAGTGCTGTAAACTTCAACTTAAAAAGATTTAACCAATAAAACAAAGACAAAAAACTGTATTTTGTATTTATGAACCAGTTGTATATAATGAGTTTTAGGTGTTTTTATTGGAGATTGTTGGTTCATAAAATGTTTCTTAAACATTTGTCATATACTAAGATTACACTTACAAAGAAAAACTAATGGTGTGGGTACGTAAGTAAGTGTCTCAATAAAGCCTCCACAAATTCAGGAGATGGACTTCTACGTTAGGACAAATGTTGTTATAAAGCTTTGTTATAGTTACTACTAAATAACTTGGAATTCTAGATTGTTAATTTTGAGAAGTGGCTGGCTGAATGATTTTTTTCTTGGCAGTATTTTTAACAGGTAGTGATCGCATTCCTATTCTTGGTATGAAGAGTCTAAAACTAGTCATCCAGTCAACAGGAGGTGGTGAGGAATATCTCCCAGTTTCCCATACCTGTTTTAATCTCCTGGACCTTCCAAAGTACACAGAAAAAGAAACTCTACGATCTAAACTGATCCAAGCTATTGATCACAATGAAGGCTTCAGTTTAATATAACTTTGGAGTTAACAGCTATTCCGTTTACTGCAAAAGCATTAAACTAATTATTTGTGTTTTTCTTGTGATGAATGCAGCAAGGTGACAGAGGTATACTATAATTCTTACTGGCAAGATGTTCAGTGCTGAGTTTTCATAAAGCCAAAAAATACTAAAGGAAATTGAACTGTTAAAATTAAACTTATTGTACAGAACCATGTTTTTTTTTTTGTCATCTGCCAATAAACATACAAGTATTGTGAATACATTGAAGTTTTTACTAACATGAATTTTAAGAGTTTGCTTATTTCACAAATGATATGGTATGTGAGTGCATGGAAATGTTGCTTACTTTTCCTTTTTCAATCACTGGGAAGCCTTTAAAGTTTGGCCTGCAAGTCATTTATTTTTCTCATTTTGTAAATAGTGTTAAGTTTTGTAATAAAATAGTTATGTTCTGATACCAGTACAGTTTCTATGGTTGTAATTAAGTTGAACTAACATTTAAGGGTTAAAAATTATTTAAATCTTACTCTAACAGTGGGAACAAATATTATCACAGTGAAAATAAGTCTCTGCTTTTTATCTAGACTGAATGTCCTTGTACAAACCTATATTATAGATAGAATTTATCTAAATAACAGTCCTCTTTTCTGTCAATCTTGAGATTATAAGTGGTAAAGCTTAATATTTAGTAATATAAGAACTGTGTTCTACAGTTGCCAGGAATAGAAACATTGGCTACTATTAGAACCAGTCTGAATTACAGCTATTGATTTTATAGGTTGGTATTCAGTAAGTTTTCAGTGCTGTAGAAAAATTCCCTTAGTTATGTCATTAAATTTAAGGGTTAATGCAGCACATGTGACTTTCTGCTAGAATGCAAATATTTTTCAAATGTTTAAATAATAAAGATTTATTGGTTTAATATTTAAACTTTCAGTTGTTCTCATATGAGATTTGAAATTCTTCAAAAATAATGTCAGGGAAGGTCTCTTCAATTTTGGATTGTTACTATTCCTATACAAATTTGTCTATTTTATAGAGGGCCCCACATCTCTTTATTTGTAATTCCAAAATCCACAACTCTGAAAAAAGAAATATCCTATCTTTTTGCAGCAATCCTATCAGAAACATTGAGGCTGTTGGTGACAATAAATGTATATGATAAATATACCTATGGGCATACATAATTCATTTCATTGCATTTTGCAGATGTTGCCCTTTTTACAAATTGAAGGCTTGAGGCAACTCTGCATTGAGCAAATCTGCTAGCACCATTTTTCCAACTGCTCAAATAATGGATAGCATTCTTTGATAAAGCATTTTAAAATTATGTATATTTTTTGACATGCTGTGCACACTCAATAGGTTACAGCATAAGCACGCTTTTGTGTACACTGGAAAATCATAATTTTTGTGACTTGCTTTGATTTACTGTAATAATCACTTTATGTGATAGTCTACAACTGAACACTTAGTATCTCTGAAGTATACCAGGTACTTGCACATTTTGCTATGGCAATATTAATATGTTTGATTCCTTACTGTATTTACTTAGATACTGCCACAGACCCCAGTGGGATTCTACATAATATGTGCTTTAGAAAGTTCTAGCAACATAATTCAGGTGACCCAATTAGTTCTGGATAAGGGACTACAGACCTCTACTTTTCAGTAGTTTTAAACTTATGGTGAGCCATAGGGATCTCTTCATTATAGATTAAAGTCCTAAAACAACATTCTCATCTGGGTTGAGAATTTTCCTCAAGTAGTCTTATTCCCTATGAAAATTCCTCTATGTACCTAATGCTTTACCATTTCTCAGTGCATTCACTCCTGGAGGGTAATTATTGTTTCTGTTGAAAATTTGTAGATGTTTTGTGTGTGTGTGATGCTTTTTTTCTTTAGTAACCTCTATGCTATGAAGCTGATCTGTGAAATAAAACAGCCACATGGACTAAAACAGAAGGCCACTGAAGAGACTTAAAGGACCTACCATCTTATCTGGGAGCTCACACAGCACATAGTAGAAGGCTTACTTTGGGTAAGTCTGATATTTCTTCCCTCCCTTTGTTGCATTAGCAATAGAGTGGGCATTAAGTGAGACTCATGGTAGGAAATTATAAGTACCATTGAAAGCTCTTTCAAATTACCATTAGCTTTTCTAAAAATAACAAAAATCTCAAGACTATTGTAGCTAGAGTAGAAAGCTAGTTAAAGTGTTTACTAAACTTGAAAACTACTTGGTCTCCGGATATTTAAGGGTTACTGTGTTTGTAGTTTCATCTTAATTCAATAACAGCCATTGTTCAGACTCAACACATGCATTTATATTGGCATGAAATAAAGCTAGTTACTCCTATTCTGTCTCTTAACCACTTTCCAAAAACCTTTCTTGCTCTTTTCCTAAGATTATTTTTGTCCCATCTTTTGGCAAAGAACTCACCATTTCAGTAGCTTCCCACTCTTGTCCAGTGTTTAACTTTTAAGCCAAAAGTTCTTGAGAGATTACAGTTGCTTGCTTTGATTACATACACTTTCCCAGCTAGGCCATCTTCTGGGAATGGAGTGTTAAAAGTTACAGAAGGTGGCCCTCCCTAGTGCCGCAGCGGGTTAAAGCACAGCACCGAGAAGCTAAAGCCACTTCCGCATGAGTTCGATTTTCCCGCCTAACCCCGGAGGTGACCACATGGCATGGCAGACCTCTCCTGATCCAGCCGCTGCTCCCCTCAGCAGTGTACTTCGTAGATCTGCCTTTTCTGCTCCCCACTCTGTCTCTGGTGAAGCCACTCATCGCCCCTGAGCCTCTGGCCTGTACCCCAGTTCTGTATGAACAAGTAAATCTTAAAAAAAAACAAAAGGCCCTCCCTGGTGGCGCAGCGGGATAAAGCACTGCACTAAGAAGCTTAAGGCCACTTCCGCATGAGTTCTATGGGAGGAGATCCACATGGCGAGGCAGACCTCTCCTGACCCACCCACTGCTCCCCTCAGCAGTGTACTTCATCGATCTGCCTGTTCTGCTCCCCACTGGTGAATCTCTCACCCTCCGCATCTGTGGTCTGTGCCCAGGTTCTGTATAAATAAATAAATCTTAAAAAAAAAATGACAGAAGAGAACTCCCCAGTTCATTTCCCTTTTAACCCTTGACAGACTTTTTGACTGGGATGAGGTACCTTTAAAATTCTGCACAAGACCCACCTTATGCCAGTTAAATCTCAATCTTACTGAGAGGTGATGCTCCAGGTTATATATACTTTAACATTTGCCAGGGTGATTTCTTGACAATCCCAGCTGAGTGTTAAACATTTACCAGTATTTCTGCTAACTTGCTAATTTAAGGTTTAGACTAAATCTTTGAGTTTCGTGTATAGATCAAATCACAAATCTAGCAGACTTGTTTGAAATAAAACTTATTTAAGCTTAGTAGGTGATGAGAAGCATTTATGTACCACCAAGAAAAATGCTAGTTACAAATCATATGTTAAAAAGCTGTATCACAATCGGTAAATTGTAAAATATGTAGCACTGACCAAGGGGATTGAGATAGTATTGAGTAACAAGGCTTTAAATTAAGTCTTGCTAAATATTTAGCTTGACCATTTAAATGAATATATACCTCTCCCTTTACCTGTGTTGGACAGGACTACCTGCCTTGTTCATCTTGTGCATAAATGGAATAAGGTTTCTTTTTATAACATCTGAGGGTGGCGTTTATGGATAATTACTCTAGTGCTAACAGGATGTATCAAGAGTAGAGTAGAACATTTTCTAGAAATTCAAGCTTTAAAAGTTTGCCTTCAAAGGGGAGGCATAAGTGAGAGCAGGAAACTGCCAGTTGAAGATTCTCTTTACCCATTACTATACATACTTTATAAACGTCATATTCCTGGCTTCTTGAATAGTACTTTGTGTTTCTTTCAGGTCAACCTCAAAAAGTTCATACCAAGTATGATCTGCAGTCACTTTTGTCCACCCTTTCTCAGTTTAAAGACTTTAAAGGTCTAGCGCCAGGAGATTAAATTTCCCAGATAAACTGGCTTTTTTCCCTAGTAGCTGGGCACTTTCCACTATTTCCTACTGATCCCTAAGTCTGTCAGATTCTCTCTTTTCCCTACATTTAACCTGCTGAGGCCTTTAGCCTGACCTACATTGGATGAGATACTAGATTTGAGACTTTTGGTGATGTACCAACTTAAATAACCAGTACCATCTTTCAGACAGTTTAAAAAAAAAATGAGTGAAGAAATGTTTAAGAAAGCATGTAATACAGCCTTCAGCTGTAGGAATTAAAAAATTTTATATTTTAAACAATGTGACTTAACAGAAAAAAGTCAAATGACATTTTAATAGACTTTGAAACAGTGTACAAGTATAAAACACTGGTTTTGTATTTCAAAAGTTGGAAGATATCCAGTCATTAAACAGTCTACAAAACATATGCCAGTAGATTACATAAAAGACTATGTACAATATAAAAAGAGCTGAAAACAGTCTCCACTGTAAAAATAATTTAAAACAAATTTTTCAATTTAAAATATTATCTATAGCACAAACACACATCATGCAAATGGAAAGCTAAATATACTGCATTCTTTAGGGTAGCCAAATAAAGTCAAATGGCAACATCTTTTAGGTAGGGAAATAGCCAATAAAGTTTTTTTCTCTGGCAATAATGGTCCTAAGCTTGCTATCTTATGTTTAAAGAACAGCTGTAATTCAAACCTCTTACAAACTGTAATAAATACTAAAGCAACATAGGGATGCTCTCTAATTTGGTAGTAATATTGGGAAAAGGTCAGAAGATAAATGCTTATTGTGCAATTTTATAAAGTATGAACTTTTGAAAGACTAGAAGCTTCTGCAGCTGAGAAAGTTGAATTCTAGCTTTAAGGCAGGCTAAGCTTTTAAATAAAGACATGTTATAGGAACTAGTCTCATTAACTATTCTGCTATTACAAGTTTACATCATATTCATCTCCACAATACTATGCTATTAAGTTTGGTATTATTATACCAGATCCTCCTGTACTTAGTTATAATTAACATATTACTTTGGAACCATAATAAGGGGGCTGTTGCTATCCTTGTTAGTGGAAAACAAAAAAGCAACAGTCCAAAATATTACATTCTCCCCAGTACCATTATTATAAATTCATAAAGGCTTTTGCATATTCACATCTTGGCAGTTTAATATGTGTAGGAAAGGATTGATGCAGGCTCTACCACAGTGATAGGTATTTAAATGACAATGGCAATTATTCTCAAAACTAAGGGTACCCAGGCAGGCACTGTTGTTTCTAAAGCAATTAAAACATTTCCAAAGCATTTGTTTTTCAGATTAGTTTTATGAGCCAATATAGACATTACTGCATGTCCACAGGGAAGTACAAAAGCCATCTTCATTTGAACAATACAATATTCCTGAAACTCTTAGCACCAGGTCTTACTTTACAAAGCAAAGACAATTGAGTGCTCTCCTTTCTTCCCTATTGTTGACTTCCTTCTACACACATAGCATGTCATGAGATTTTTAAAAAGTTAGCTGCCACAAGTTTTGGGAAATGCCAGTGTTTAAAAATAGGTAATTGTGCTAAATAATCAGAAGCTTAGCAGAACAGTTTTGAGGATTCTAAACCATTCAATGTTACAAAGAAAAGTGTGAGAAATACCATTCTTTGGTCTAGATAAGCTGTTCCCTTTACATTAATTTAACATTCCAATGGCTTTTTGAAAACTTTAAAATGTTGAAACTCACTAGGCAAAATTATATATACATATGAATGTATTATACAAATGAACTTTTAAAAGAAAGTCTTGACCAACAGCTGATTAAAGATACTTAGTACCTTTCTTAAAAAAAAAAGTTAGTGTTGCATACAAGTACAGAAATAAGTAAGTTAAAAATTACCCATGAAAACAATCTAATTTCACCAGTCTATAAATATTACACCTTTCTGGTTTCCTTGCTCTATTGAGTTCACAAGTAAACATTCATTCTGACATGCTAAAGGTCCTAATGCTGGTGGGAAAATTCCTGTACCTGGACAATTACATTATGATTTGTTTGATGGATAGTTAACATCTGTTGGTTCCTGTTTCATAGACACAGCTTCATTGACTGCCTCTTGATCACCTCCATCAGCTCCAAATCCAGTTACTCCAGCTCTCTCATTAACATCAGCATCATCTTCCAAACCATTGTAAAATTCTTCAGTCTCACTTTCATCCTCCATAGGTTCTTCTAAACTTGGACTCTGGCATGTTCCACTATCACTGTTACTGCCACAAGAACTAGACGATAAGACGTCATCTTCAGAGTCTGAATATACCTCAGCACCATGGAAAATGTAACGATTTGGTGGTAAAAACAGATATTGGTTACCTGAAATACAGTAATAAAGACATAATTCAACATTACCTTCTTACAGATTACCGCCACTCTAGGCTTTTATTGTACTATTTCTAAAAAATAAGTTAGATTCTTGGTTTTTATGCATATAAAGCTTAAACTTAGTATGGCCCCTCATTAAGCTTTGTTAATTTGGGTACTTGTTGGTCTTAATTTCCTGATCTTGAAAATGAAGCAATTCTATCAACAACCTGCTGAGTAAGTATTACTGCATTTCTTTCCCCAGAAACATTAAACTGACTCATTTGAACAGATCTGACCAGGTGAAGTACATAGGCCAGTCTACATTAGATACTTAATTCATGTTATTAAAAGTAACTCATCAAAACACATGAGGCTTCCAATGCAACTTTGTTACCCTATTCAAAGTGTAGCCTGTAGACACTGGCATCACCTGGAGTTAGAAATTTAGATTCAGATCCACCACCCACTTACTAAGCTATGTATTCTGTAGAAGCAATGCTGAACTTTTTTATTTTTATTACAAATTCCCTCCCAAGTCTGTATTTATAGTTTAAGAGTTTGACCTTTTTTTCCCCTAAGTTATAAACTCCAGGTCAAGACAACTCTAAGAAGTTAGGCTGAGTACATCAATTTAAATGCTAACAAAAAGTTGTTTAAAGTCCCAGTTTGGTCAAATTTGGTTAGGTTTTTGCTTACTTGGTACATTTTAAGATTCTAAATCTTTAAACTCACAGAACAAATAATCCCATCTGTTTTTATATATACTGTGCTAAATTGCAGATGAGATTAAAAAATCTAATACATAGCTTATCTTTATATATCAATCATGATCCTGTTGCTCACTCTAACCTAATGTGTGACAACTTTGATCTGAGCCACACAAAAATTTCAGACCAAGGTCTTCCCTGGTGGCCTAGGGGTTAAAGTGTTAGCAATAGTACCCCTATGGCCCAAGTTCCATCCCTAGCGAGGGCACAGCAGACCTCTCCTTACCTGCTGTTTCCCATAGCACTGTATTTTAGTAAGTCTACCTTTCTGCTATCTACACACCAGTTCTACACCAAAAAAGAAAAATCAATCTGTTATTACATCACACATCGATATATGAAAACTACTTATTTCCTTGCATATTCTTCAATTTCCTAAGATAACTAGCAAAGTTTGCATGACCAGAAAAGGAAGGTAGATACTTGAATATTCCAGCTACTAACAAAAATCCCATCTGATACTTCCCAATGGGGCTATCTTCCTTTGAATCATAATCACTGAGTCAGTCTAAGGTGTCCCAGCTCATTGCTTTCTGCACTTTGCATTCCAGTTTCCACCCATGCTTCCCCCAAAAGTTTTTTCTATTCTGCCCTCCCCCATTACTGAATGATCTATTTTACAAGTACCTGATACCCTTCCTACATGTCTATTTTTGCCTTCCTCTTGGCAATCAAGACAGATTATATGTTCCAACTTGCTCCTTTGTACCCTTGGACTTCAAGATCAAAATTAGAGGCAAAAAAGTAACATCTAGTTCGGTTTTAACAATTACAATTGTGTATATTCCCTTAAATTCTCCTAATAACTTTTATTTCCATTTTACAGGCTCAAAAAACTGACATTAAATAACCTTGCCCAAGAGAGCTGAGACAACTCAGGGTCTGTATTTCCAAAGCCTGTACTTTTTAAGGACTCCTAAATTGGTAAAATCTAAGAATATCACCAAATAGATAACTTTGGGTTCCAGATTTGGTTTTTAGGGCAGAGTTTTGTATGTTTAAGCCATGTGTCACATACTCAAAACCCCAATGCAAAATATTAAACGCACGAGCTGACTCTATACGGCAAATTTGTATTACCTGACTAAGCAATTTTCTCCTCCTACCTTTTGCCACATTTTCAAGCAAGCCTTATTGTATGTATGCTTTTTTCCTAGTTTCCCTGGGAAAACTTCCCTTTTAAAGTGGTTACTGTTCAAAGCCGCAGTCAGAGCTAGTTTTGGAAAACCTTCCATAAATTAATCTCCAAACAGCATCTAATTTTTTTGGGTAGTTATCACCAATTTCATAGTTATACACACACATCGGTAGATTAGTTATTGTATCTTCAAAATTTCCTTTAATGCCTACACTGGAAAAGTTAAAGGCTTTATCAATTGAACTAAAGAAATTAATTTACAGTAAATAATCAGAACACAAATACTTTTGTCTAAAATCTGTTAAATTTCTTACTATGTATGGTAAATGGGATTATTGAGTATGGTATTTCTTACTTCCTATTCATTTAGCATGTTCTACCACATAGAGTTTTCTGATGAAGGGAGAAACAGTTTGGACAAGGACCCACTGTCTTGAGTTTGCACATTTTCCCCATGTCTGCATGAGTTTTTTCTAGGTACTCAGTTTACCCTCACATCCTAAAGATATGCATACCTAAGTTAACTAGTGTGTCTAGATTTCCTTAGTCTGAATTAAGGAGTTGGGGGAGAAGGGGTGGGTTTGTGTATCATGGGTAGAGCCTCCTATCAAGGCTGAGTCTTGTCTTGTAACCTGAGCTGCAGGGATAAGCTTAAGCAACCCTCAACCCTGAACTGGAAATAGCTGGGTTACCTTGCATGGAGTACTTAACCTCTGTGGTCCTTAAGTTTTCCTACTGTAGGAAGAGAATTAATAGTTTTACCCTCATGAGATTAATATCAAGTAAGAAAGGTAAAATGGCTAACCACAATAACCACTCAAAGCTGAGTAATTTTTACCAGGCTAAAGTTTTTGCTACACAACGGCAGAACTTAATGCCCTATTTCCTCCTCTTTTTAATGCTTACCTTTGTATTTCTCTAAAAAAATTCAACGTATATAGCAGAATTATAAACATTTTCTTCCTCATATGATGTAACATACCACCGTTTGTTTTTGTAGTTTATAATCTTGATTTTTTAACAGTACCCATAGACAGAGTCAATTGATTAAAGAGCTGCATAATTAACTTGCCAAGATTGCCCATTTGTTTACAAGTCTTACCGTCAAGCCTTTTACTGATCTGCTCCTTTGCCAGTCTAGCAGGCCAGCATTTTCTCACTGTTTCAGCAACAGTTCTTTCATTTTTCTCCCCAATATTGGTGTCAATACTCTTCAAATCTGGACTTTCCAACTGTTCACTAACATTTTCAGTACTCCTAGAAGTTTGTACTTCCTGTGATTTTCCTTCCATACAATCTTTTGACTCAGATACATTTGAATCACAAACATTACTTTTCGTTGCTTGGTCTAAAAGTGTGACAATCACTGAAGAATCTGGTGGTGAAGTTCTTTCTGGTGAACTTGAATCTTCGGAAATATTAAGAGGTGTAGGTGGCAACTCTGACAAATGAGCCAACTCTTTTTGTGTTCGTGGAGGCTTTTCAGTAATTTCTGAAAGCTTAATAGGATTGCAGCAAAGTTTGGCATATTCACCACCTAACCGATGACACAATTCATTAATTATGACATCACAGTCTCCAAGAAGCTCTACATCAAAATGCAGATGAGGCAAAGGTTCCCTATTAATTAATATCTGAGGCACTTCATGGGGTATGGAACCTAAAAACAATAGAAAAGAGTCAAGAAAAAGGGGTAGGAGGTAACCTAACAGAGCCACAACAAAGGTACTATGCAGTTAACTAACATTCTTCCAAAACCAAAAAAGAAACATGCCACTAATAATTAACCAAGCTATTACATGTTTCCATGTTATATAAACAAAAAGAGCAGTTAAACATCTTTCAGATTCTGTTCCTGTCACCTGGTTATTTCTGACCAATCCTCTAAAAGTGCCACTCTTTGTACCACTATTTCCTTTCTGTATATTGTCTATTTTCTATGACTACATACCAGTTTCACATATTTTAAAAAACTGCCTTGCCTCTCACCAATATACAAACTCCAAGAAAACTTTTAAAAATTCCTGTTAGCTTTGAAGACAAGAAATAATTCAAAAAGAAATTTGTATGTTGAAATACTATAATAGAATTTCACAACCATTTTGAGAAAATTTAGTTGAACTGCCTAAAAAAAAGGCACCATGTGTGAGCTAGTGAAAAGAAACTGGAGCATTTGATGTTTCTTCCAGTGTTTATTCTGGCTTCTTAATTTGATGACTGTAGGTAAAGGGTTTTAACTTAATTCTCTGGTTAAGGGTCTGATATTCTCTCTTCTTGCCTCACGTTTAGGGTACCTAGTCTAGTGGTACTGATTTACTTCTTTGAGCTTCCTCTCCCTTGCTGCCTCACTAGAGAAAGAAAAAAAGGTAGTATATACGAGCACTTGTTAGAGACATTCCTGAAAATGATAGAGATTTTAAAATCTTTTTGAGCTTATACATACAGGATGCCCTTATGAGTAAAGGAGATCCATATACAATGACAGGGCATAATTTTTTTATTCCTATCAAAAACAAACCAATGTCTAGCCTGCCAAGTTCTCTCTCAGATGAGATCATTTCACTAAACATTTAAATTTACTGCACCTGAAATCAGTTAAGCTGAAAAGATCAATAACTATAATCAACTTGTAAGACTAAAAACACATGGATTAAGGACTATTTTTAAGTGTATGTGAATTTAGTTGAAGCTAACTTCTGAACATTAAAAATCCACTAAAAATTTATGAACTGTTTTTCTCTTAAAATTTTCGTATTAGAATTTGATGTTATCTGTTTTGACAACCCTCTCCCTTGATCAAAATGTCAAATTAACCGTGAACAAGAATGCCACCTAAAAAAAAATTAACTCTTGATTTTCTACCACTTTATCTAGGAACCGAGGTCTACTACAAACAGACCCACAACCTATGGTAATACAGACAGAAATGTTCTATAAGAATTATCACCAACTTACTTGGAATTAGTGCTACTGGTCTTACTTTCAGGGAAGACCCAATAACAATGAGGAGATCAACTTCATCTTTGTCATATTTCATGGCTCTATGAAACTGCTCTGGTAAATTTTCACCAAAAAAGACAATCTCTGGTTTCATGATAGCAAGTGGTTCGTCGGCTGGGCACCTAGGACATCGAGGAACCACCTGTTTGTTCCAGATTTTAGTTGAGGTAAGAGAAGGGAAAACTCAGTTAGAAACGGTTAACATTTCCACACTTCCTGAAAATGCATTTCAAAAGTATCAAAACAGAAAAGCTGTGGATACCAAACAGGAAAAACTAAATTCATCCTAAATAATTATCAGCACAATAAAAATACTATGATGCTATCTGTGCTATTGCAAGCTATGGACTTACATCTGATCCAAGATATTTGTACATTAGCATGTGAAACCAGTACATACATATATGTATGTGTATAAACAGATACTTCGTATACTATGACAAAATCTTTTTTTCTGATAAAATCTTTAAAAAACAATTCTCTTCTAATATATCACCAGCCTTTAGAATTATGTACAGTTACATATACAACTTAGCAATAGAATTTATTTCTGGGTGGTTATTCTCTGACATTTTCCTACATTTTTTGGGAAGTGAGCATTAATGCTCTACCTTTCATAATACTTTTAAAATGATTTAAAATAAAGCATTACCTCAAATAATTTAAAATTCTATTCTGACAGGCACAGATAAAGAAAGGAGAAAAACTAATATAGTAACACCTTCCCCATATAATCTAGATTTTAAAACTCAGCTAATCAAGGAGTTACTTCATCATTTAGAGACATTATGGAGCAATGTTTTTGACTTAAGGTATTGAAAGGGTCTTTTGTTTTTCACCTGAATTCTCAATGGTATGGTAACATTGTGGATCTTCCTATATCACATGCTGTTAGAAAAAAAGAATTTGAGGCAAAGAACAGATCAAAGAAATGCCTTACTCATAAAGTATGAATGATAATTCACCTGATTAAAAATATCTCCTCTTACAGCTTCACAGTCAACTTTGTATTTACAAATCAGGCAAGATGCTGTTGCAAAGGAACCTAAAAACAATCAAGTGTATATATGCTTCAATAAAGGTACATTTTTATTCCTTTAACATATAAAGACTATAAAGTCTGACACCAGAAAAGTTTTACAATTTCAACATATTCCACAGGAGACTCTAGGGGTAAATAATTTAGGAGAGAATCCAACCCCCAATCAGAGATGTTGACATAATGACCATGATAAAGTTATTTTTTTCAATAAAATAAACCAACTCCTCCATGACTAAAATTTCTGCAGAGTAGGATGATTACAACTGTATTACATTAGCTTAGCTTAACAGTTGTGTTTTATAGTTTAGACTCATAAGAAAATGTTGGTTTAGATGTAAAGTTTTCAAAAACACTACTTTTGCAATCAAAGAAGGATGGATGTACTCCTCTATCTTTCATAATCCAAAAGCACAATATTTAATGTTTTACATAATTAAGGGGCATGTTATATTTCTGCTTTCTTTTTTTTACATTCTACTTTTCTTAATTCTATAACTTATATTTTAAGATCCATAAGGCTTAATTCTGTTTCAAGATGATAGTATAATTTCTAATTATAATTTTTCCTATAAAATAATATATAGAAAGCAACCCTGAAGTTTACTAACCGTGACATTGAATTATCCTTTGGATTCCTGCTACCTGTTCCAGTGTATCTATGTTTTGAGTATAGTTGCGAAGTAGTTTTCCTTCCTTGTCAGACAAGGCGATAAATTTGTGACAGAGAGATGGTTGGAACTGTCCAGGATATATTTCCTACATGATATAAACAGTAAAAAACAAAGAAAAAAAAAAGAAAAATATGATTAACAAAGTGCAACAGATGCCATATGTATAAAACGAACAATAAAATACCACTGATAACTCTGTATGCATATGTAATTAAAAAAAATACACGAGCACCTCAAAGCATCTAGATGGATGCAACACACACACCTACAAAATGACTGTTGCTGTAATATATATAAAACTCAGCAATTAGTGAACTTGGCCCTTTGAATAGGATGGTCAACTCAAAATATCTCTAGTAAATTGTTTAGTATTTTAATAAAAGCCAGAAGAAATAATACACCTCAAAATTCATCTAATTTGGGCTACAAATTCAAATTTTTTTTTAAAGGAAAAAGGGGAAAAGTTTAAACTAAAATTAAAAATAAAGGTATGGTGACTTTTTAAAGCTAGAGTTTTAATTCCTTACCAAAATTGTTTTCCTTCCACTGCACAGGCACATACTGGTATAGTATAGAGTTGTTCATGAATGCTGAGTTGCTGGATTTTGTGTGTGTGTTTTTTCCCCCCAAATAATGCTTCAATGTTGTTTCTTCTTTAAAAACAAAGAATTCAGATATACACATGGCAAAAAGATCAGAGAAAAAGTGTCAATTTTGGTCCTTTCAAACTTTTGACAGTGTTTTTATTAAATTTCATTAGCAAGTGACTGGCAAAGGAAGTGAAGTCCTTCTCTACCTTCTTCAAGTACTACTGGTAGCTGCTACTTCCTTACTGGTAATTTCCTTACAGCCTCTAACTTATTTCAATACTAGCAAAAAAACCAGGCACAATGACATGTTCATTAAAAAGGAACTGGCTGGTTGCAGAAACTTATTACATCCTGATAGACTACACAGCCAATCAAATCAATGAGGGAAGTTCTAGATGCACTACCTTGGAAGATGGTCCATGATTATACAAGAGAAAAGCAAGTTAGTCATGGTGTGTAGTTGTGTTTTTGCCATTAAGCAAAAAAAGGAAATTATATGCACATGTATATATCAGGAAGGGTAAAAACAAGCTATAAACAGAAGTGGGGAAATTAATGATATTGTACAAGAAGTTTAATATTATAAATGATTTTACTTCAAACCTATTTAGTATTTCCAATTTTGAAAAACTTACCATCCAAAACAGCTTATGATATTAAGCATGCAAATTAAGTAAAAATGATGCAGATCTCATAACTATCAGTTATGTCCATATGCTGAAAATGTTACACAAAAATCCAGGTTTTTCCTAATTTTCAGATGATGAATTCCAGGGACAAACGTGCAACTTAAGAAATACATCAAGAAAGCCTAATTAAAGTTAATTTCTACAGAAAACTGAAAGCCATGATGTTTTGGACCAGTGGGCTATGCTGGATATATAACCACTGTTTTCTTTGTGAATGTTTTGTTCCAGTGTGCTTACATTCAGAGGATTAAACATCCTATTATCTTATGTAAAGGTTCCTCTGGATATAGCAGTTAAAGTATTCACAAATATTAGAACAGGCAAGACAACAGAATAAGAGTTTCTAAGGTAGTAAGGAAAGTGAAAAAGCATGTCAATGAAAGGCATTAATTACTGCCTCCAGAGCAGACTCCATGAGCAAGAACAAGACCTTTTTACCCTCTGTGTGGTGTGTGTCTTATCATCCCATGCCTTTTAAAGAGGAGAGTAAGAAACCCAATGACCTGTGGGGCACCAGATTCAGTTTTATGCTACAGTTTTCCTTCATATCCAACATATAACATTTCAGGGTAGTTTACGCTTTAAAATTCCTATAGTTGCAGATAATGCAAATAAGGCTATTTTTGCTTGATTTTATATTTTATATTGGAACCTAAGTGATTTGTCTTATCTGCCTTCTTTTGAATATTCAGTGAACCATGTCTGAAATCTTTACATTTAATGAAATCTTTACATTAATACTGTATTAAGCTAAGATACATAACCTGAATTATTGAAGGGAAAAACTATTCTTGAAGGACTATTTAAATACTAAACTCCTAACTCCAATTTTGCTAAAGCCAAAATTGCTGGGAATACAATTTTCAGATCAAGTATGAATTATTGCATTTTGGAGCTATGACATGTTAACCCTGTTTGAAGCAAGAAAGGCCATTTCCAATCTAAACATCTTAAAGTCCTACTAAGCTGCTGATCATGTGGGCTGGACCTTTGCTTATTGCCATGGAGATTCTTAAAAATTAGAACAGGAGCAGAGTTGAGACCAAACACTTGAAATATTAAAAAGATACTCTGCTTCCATACAACTGTGTCTAAAAACATGCAACCAGAATGGCTATAGGCTGCTCCTTCCTTAAAAGTTCCTCTGGATATAGCAATTAAAATATTAATAAATATTAGAATGGCTTGACAACAACACTGGCTAAAGTAGCAGGGCAAGTGACAAAAGCATGTAAATTAAAACAGGCATGAATTACTGCTTCCAGAGCAGGCTGCATGAGCAAGAATACAGCCATTTGCCAGTGAATTTTCAATGGCTTTGCAGCAGAAACAGTTTTCTTATCCCTTTCTATGAAATTGGTTAACACTTTAGTCAGAGACTGGGGTGTTCATTGCACCCCTCAAAACTAAAATGACTCTTCAAAGTTTAAGATACCATTATTTGCTAATATCCACCTCCTACAGTAGAGGGAGGCAGTAAGTAGAGATGTTTAAGAAATTAGAACCTCAATTCTTCACGCTGACAGAAATGAAGCCAGTGGAGTAAAGGAAAATCCTCGTATCTCCCTGTTACAATCAGAACAAGACCACACTCGATAGACTACTGTATCTTACCAAATTAGTACTTAAAAATTAGTTTGCCACTAGATAATTTCAACTTTATTTTTTTTTAAAGGCTGGTTCCTTGAGGAATTCAAGATATAGCAATTTTTTCCCATACAGAGGAGGCCAGATATTATACATCCATTGGGTCACATAATTTATGTCTATAAGGTCTCTATAGCAAACACTTCAATCAGCCACTGCAGTGCAAAAAGTGGTCAAAGAAAACATGCAAATGAATAAACATGGCTGCATTTCAGTAACATTTAATTATGGTCAATAACATTAGAATTACATATGATATTAATTTGTCATAATAAATTATTCTGATTTCTCCCATTTAAAAATATTTAGTTCATCAGTTAAGACAAATACAGGTCATTTCTGAAATTGAGGATGTGGTTTGCAACCTGTGTACTAACCTAACCTAAGAATTTCAATTAGTTAAGCTCCAATGAGTGAGCTTAATTTCATCAGGCATAAAGGAGCACTTCTAACACATACACACACATATATTTATGTATATGCACACATATTTCTGTATATATATTCATATTCCTATTCTGTAAGTGGAAAGACCAGAGCACATATGTAATTTGCCAAGAACTTCCAAGAGCCATTAAGTAAAGACATCATACAAACCCCAAATTGAGACCACCAAAACACAGCCTTCTTTACCACTATGCACACTGCCTTTTCAACTGCTTGCTCAACCTCAAGTTCTTCTTTCAGGTTATGTACCATTTCTATTAGGTATTACAAACTAGTCAAGACTACACTAGTCCAGTAAGTATATTTCATTTGGAACATCTTTGTGGGTTTACCGGGCTGGGATTTCAATCACCTAATTGAAGCATACTTCAAGAACAATGTTCCCAAAAATTAGAATGAGAAAAAGTATCATAATGGAAAACAGTGGCTAAGAACAAAGATAAACACAGCCAATACTCAAAAGCAGTAACCTATTAATAGAAAGACACTATATATTGAGAAGATGCTAATTTTTTAACCTATTAAATTGATAATTTATAAACAGGTTTACTTTTGTTTTTTTCCTCTGCAAGAAAGCATTTTACAGGTAAGGAAGACTGAAGGGAGAGACCAAATAACATTTATGTTTTGTACTGTTTAATCTTTATCATATACACTGCCACTCCATCTAAAATAATATATTAATGCTAACAGTGTATTAAGTTTTCCCCCTCTTGGAGGGTAGAGGAGGTGGAAGGCAAGAGTCTGGGGTATATGATAAATCATCACTCTTATACACTCTGATTAGAGTGATTTTATTCACCCTTTCTAGGTAATAGTAAAGGAAAATATATCCGAACCCTTAGCAATTTCACCTTCAGAATTTATTAAAAACAATGGTGACATACCAACTTAAAGAATAACTACGGCAATAGTATTTGTTATAACAGAAAGTAGGAAATGGCCAAAATGTATACTTATCAATTACAATATATACCATTTGAAAATTATATATACATAGCTTTAGGTATTAACACTGTGTTAAGCTAAATCAGACTGAGTTTTTTGGCTTGCATTTTTAGTTTTAGTTAATGATTTTGTTCTTGAGATGCCTCATCAGTACATCTACATTATCTGGCATGTTTGCACATTACTAATAAAATGATAATGTATTAAAGATACATTTTTAGAATTTAGTTATAACTCCTACTTTTCCTCAAGTTTTACTTACTTTAGGAGAAATTTGCAAGATTCAAAAAAGGCAACATTTTAAAACACACACTTTTAAAGGTTTTCCTCTATCAAACTCAAATTTCACCTTCACTTACTCTTAATACAACTACTCATTTGTGTCAGCATCAGGAAATTATTTTAGACTCCTGAGAAACATGACCATAGCTACTAGCTGTCAATGTAAGCCCTTTTTATACAGGGTAATGGCTCAGAATATGGATATATAATATTAATAATGACCTTAACTTGGGTAAGTGTAGGTACCATAGTCTGGCACACTGTCATACACTTGTGTTTAAATAGGGAGTAATTCTGCAGGGGAAATTTGGCAATGTCTAGAGATATTTGTGATTGCCAAGATAAGTTATGAGTATTTTACTCATGTATTATTTTAAGATCTAATAAAATAAAACAATATTTACATACTTTCCTCTTGCCCTTCCTGCCTAACCCCAGCCCAGCCACTCCATTTTGGATAGCATTCTGATATCCTTATTTCTCAAGTTTTTCCTACTCATTTTAAAGCCAAAATTAATAATCTATTAATAAATTTCAAGCGCTACTTCAGTAGCTTATAACTGTCTTTCAGGCAATTCCTAATGTGCAAATTAAAGAATGATAAATCTGTGAGTAGCAACTAGAAAGGTTCATTATTTTCATTCCTACCATAACTTAAATGAAAACTCAGAAAAGCAATAAAATAAATTATATTTATATAAACACTGGAAAAAGTTGGACTTCCCCCCCATTTTATTAACAAAATATACCGAAGTTTTAAATATTTACAGAAATGAAAAATGACAACCCCTATCCTTTTCCCAGTTAGTATAAAGTATGTACAGTGTTTAAAGCTATGAACACATTAACTGTGTGCCAATTTTACCATAATCATGCTTTCTTTTATGCACTGTCTAGATTTCTATTAAATGCATTTTAAAAGTTCCTGCAATTTATCTTTATCAAAGTAATTCTGAATTGCTTCTACAGATTGTTACATGTCAAGGTGAGGGGGAAAAAGGTGGTGTCCTAAGTCAAGCCAAGAAATTTATAATGAAGTGACACTTCACCTAGTGAACCAACATGTTAAGAGTAAGTCTTCATTAATTCATAATCTTGGAATGGAGAAACATAGAAACAAAAAGCCATTAATTTTACATTAATTCAATTTAAATAACTAGCTTTCTGCTCTAAAGGCAAGAGATACAGATGACTTTCATTACCAATACCTGATGTAAAAAGTTCAAGATTGTTTCAAGCTAACTATGGGAAGATTAAAAATCTTTTCTACAGATTTTTCAAATTTAATCCCAATTTTAACAAATGAAATTTTAATGCAGATGTCCCATTCATTGTAATTTCTATTTGGATGAAATGAAGTGCATCTTTAAAGACAGTCACTAATTTAATCACCACACCCTATAGTAAACACACCCAATGATTTGAAAGTAGCTTATGATGTCCCTTTATTTAAAATTCAGGTACTGGACCTTCCTGGTGGCCTCGGGGTTAAATATCAATGCTCTCAAGTCTACCACCTGAGTGTCAGAGTTCGGTGAGTTCGATTCCCAGCCAGGGATCTAATCTACATACACATGGCACTGCAGACCTCTCATCTCACCTGCTGCTCCCTGTTTTAACAGTGTACTTCAGTAATCTGCCTGTTCTGCTACCCAAAATGTCTCTGGTGAATCCTCTCACCCCTGCACCTTTCGCCTACATCTGAGCTCTACACAAAAAGTAAATAAAAATAAAATTCAGGGATTTTCTAGAATCACTAAAAATGTCATTAAAACAAACAAAATCTTTCAAACACAGTGAGCTTTAGCAATAACCATTTATAACTTATTAACTATAGGAAGAAAGCTTTCTAATGATTGAAAGATTCTGGTCATGGTATAATACCAAATTTAATCTGGAACAGAGCTGTCAGAAGTATCAGGTGAGCCATGTATAACTTATAATTTCCTAATAACAGTTTAAAACTTCCATGATTTAGAACCCAGTATCAAAAATACTATTTCCACTATAACCAGTATTTGCTATTATAAAGTCATATTTTCACATCACATCACTTTCACTAATATATTTTCCAAAAGCTCTTAATGTTTCTCAAAGATCACATCAGCATATTTCAAGTACTCTACAGCTACACGTGGCTAGCTAACTTCTGAATTCCAGCAAGTCTAGAGCAGAACAAAATTGACTAAATGCAGTCTAAGAATATTCTCCATCCATCAGCAATTTTTCAGTCACATCCTGTTAAAAACTGTCCACCAAAAAAACATACCAAAGCATGTACTATAATCTTACAACCTACAACAAAAATATAAGAAATCAAAATAGCAGTGTTACCTTTATATGGCCTACTAACTTCTGAAAAGACTACACTATGTGAAAGCTATTAGTGAAATGCAATTTTAAAAAACATTAAAGTCTTATTTGAATAGCTCAGTTCTAAAATAAATGGCAGCTCTTCTGGGAAGAAGAGAATTCTGACTGAAATGACTTATCTGAACTTATTCCATATCACAGTTACCAGTACCAACTTTATTAGTCAATAACTGGTAAGCTTAAGACTGTATGTGAATAAAATACTTCAAGACAAGAGGATGCCAAAGAAACAACTAAAGAGTTCATAGTACCTTTGCAAACTTGAAGAATGGTCTTGGATCTTTTCTGAAATATTCAATATCAAACATTGCTTGAGGATCTGGAAGGTCTGGAAAGTCTACAGCAAGGCGAGCATAAATACCATCTCTTGACCTGAAGTCAGGTATTCCACAAGAAACAGAGACCTGAAATAAGCATGATATGCTTTATGTAATTGAATCTTCAACCTCTAGCAATATAATTAGTAGCTCACACCAAATAACTAGGGAATATTTGAAAACTTTTAGTTTAAAACTTTCTTTGCGTAACAGAAATGTTGCCCTATTCTAATTTCAAATAGAAATAAAACACCCCAATCCCAGTATATTTAAACCTATCACATGGGATAAGGAATTTTAAGTCAGGCTAACTTTTAATCTTTATTTTACTAATCAATTAAAGCAGTTGCAAACTGAGAAGGGGGTACTTCCAAAGAAATCTCTCTTCTTGCTAGGGTTCTACCATCTTAAGAATACTAAATTTTGCTCTTTTCTTAAAAATATTTTTGTTCTACAATATTTCAATTTTGAAGAATAGATTTAGGGGTCGCCCTGGTGGCCCAAGGGTTGAGTTTCAGCACTATACAGTGAAAGCCCACCATGGTCGCTGACCCACATGGTGCAGCAGCAGACCTCTCCTGTTTTGTCTGTTGTTCCACTTAATGTATTTCAGTTCATCTGCCTATTCTGCTACCCACTCTGTCTCTGGTGAATCCTCTTACCCCTTCCTCCACCTCTAGCCTACACCCCAGTTCTTCTATGCAAAAAAATCTTAGGGAAAAAAAAAAATAGATTGAGATACCTTTTTTCTTCTTACAACTAAACTTGACATTTCAAATAGGGATTTCAGAAATGATCTGTTCCACAGTTTTACTAGCATTGATTCCATAATGACTTCAGTTAGACAAATCTGTCTAAATCATAAGTCACATCTAGGAGCAATTTTTGCTGATAATTTAAAAAAATGTGACATCCTTCCACTTTTAAGACAAAATGGTAGACAATTATACTCCTGCAGTTGTTCTGGAAGTACTACCATCCATGTAACATTCTGTATTCTACTATTACATACAATAAAAGCAAGTCTTTTATATCTGTAACAGCAACCCAAAACTGGGACAGTGAGAAATTCCAAGCCATCATAATCATATCACCTTAATTTAAAATGGAGAAATAGGAACTTGGTATATTCCCGAAACTAAATTCTTTACTTATGAATGATTCCAGCTATTGGCTCAAAGATCCAGTTTCTCATCACATTCTGAGACTCTTTAATGCAAGCAGAAAATCTTGCCTTAATTCCACTATGTTAATAAAGTTTTTTTCAAGATTGTGACTTTAAATAAACTGAACCAATTTAGTAATAGCTATTGCCTTCACTTTTTAGCAGTTTCCAGACATTATCATGTAAGATTAATTCTTCTATGCCAGAAAAATGTTTCTTAATTGTAAAAACCATTAAGAAAAAAGTATTTTACCCACCCCCTTTTACTGGAATTATACATCTTACATACCCCAGCTCCAGTCAGAACTATTATTTTTTTGCATTCTTGTAGTAATTTTACAGCATCTTCAATTGTATTAACATCTTTCCTTTTTTTCCTTTTTGGTGGTTCTGAAAGGATATTAATAACAATCTGCCACAGTGTCATATCATCTAATTCAGGTGGAGGAATTGTTTCTGGTAGTAAATCCTTAAGAATTGTTCGAGGATCTGTGCCAATCATGAGATGTTGCTGAACAAAGGTATATGGACCTATATGAAAAAAGGAGGAGTTAAGATAAAAATCCACTTGTAAGTAATTCAACATCTTACTGATTTTCTACATTAGCAATCTTTAGGAAGACTTTTTGCTAAGTAAGGAAATGCAATAAGGTATTTCATTCTGATATTTTCAGAGTTTAATCTCTAACTCAAGGAAATAAAGGAAATCAAGTTGAATTAGGCATATCTTCATTTATAACATACCAAGTGTGTATGTTAAGAGTCAAACTATCAGAATTACATTTTTATAGTTAAAATCCAGGAAAATGTATAGCAATAACAGACATACTAAAGGATCCAACAAATAAATTAACATAACCTATTACCAGTTTTAATAATCCAAAACATCCCTAAGGACAAAAAGGAAAATGTAAAAGATATTTACACATTAACTTTGTCTTCCTATAATAATCTTCAGTTTGATATTAACAAATCTCCCAAATGATACACATACAATGCTAATGCTTTGAGCACTAATTTTTAACCTGAGTTTCTCAGTTCCCTCAGTTGAGAAAGACAAATATATAGTAAATATTACATCTAAGAAGAAACAGTCATTATGTTTAAAGTGAGCACCTTAAGGAAAAGATCACATTAGCAATGGTTATGTTAAAACTGTTTATAAAAATCAGTGCTTTCTACTTTAAAATGCTTTTCATTCCATGCACATGTTTAATAGATATTTACTGAACAGAAACTACATGCCTAACACTTTTCTAGGTAATGACAAAAACAGTATACATATAAAATCAGTCACAAATTACTGCCCTGTGGGACTTACAGTTTAGGTAGGGGAAGTGAGTGAAAAAAAAAAAAAAAAAGCTTATTAAGTGCTAAAAAAATGATGTAGAGGTATGTAGTGATGGAGCATGAGAATTTTAACTGGAAATAGAGTATTCCACACAGATGGTAAAAGTGAAAAGGATCTCGGGGCTCTCCCTGGTGGTGCAGCTGGTTAAAGCACAGCACTAAGAAGGTAAAGCCACTTTAGCATTAGTTCAATCCCCATCCCGGAGGTGATCCAAATGGCGTGGCAGACCTCTCCTGACCTGCCCGCTGCTCCTCTCAGCAGTGTACTTTGATGATCTGCCTGTTCTGCTCCCCACTCTGTCTCTGGTGAATCCTCTTACCGTACCTACATCTCTGGCCTGTACTCCAGTTCTGTATGCATAAATCTTAAAAAAAAAAAGTGGAAAGGATCCCAATGAGAAGAAAAAGGGCCAGTTGAGATATACCAGAAGTCAGCTTCCAATGGCCAGAGTTGTTTAAAAACAGAAACAGAACAAAGCACTATACTTTCCCTAAAAACATGAGCTGACAGTAAATCTCAGCAAGCATCTAAGAACTTTATCATCAGCTTGAGGGGAAAGAGAATTACATATTTTAGTTAACATAGAATGAAAATACAAAGAAAGGCACTTATTCCCTGAAAACATACCTATGCGTGGCCTTGGAGTCCAGTCACTAGAGCTTGCATGTGAGGCTCTATCATCTTCATCACTTTCACAGGAATGAAAACCATTGGTGATTATTTCATCACCAAACAGAAGGTTGTCTGCAAAAGTAAACAAAAGCAACTCAAGGCTACTGGAAACTCCGCCATCTAAAATGCATGAATAGCTGTAGTAGTATAAAGCAACAGATTTTCACTGACTAAAACCCTTACGTTGATACTGCCTATATAAGGAATGCCTACAGGTCAGCTTATGCTGGTTCACAGGAGCAATATAGCCTCATTTTTAGGAATTATTCCCAGAATCTAAAACTTTAAATTCATTAAAATTTAGAATTAAGTTTACTCAATTAAAACACAAAAAGTAGGGCCCTCCCTGGTGGCACAGCAGGTTAAAGCACAGCACTAAGAAGCTAAAGCCACTTCCACATGTGTTGGATCCCTGTCTGCCCCTGGGGTGATCCACACCTGGCAGCAGTCCTTTCCTGACCCACCCACTGCTCCCCTCAGCAGTGTACTTCCATGATCTGCCTGTTCTCCCCACTCTGTCTCTGGTGAATCCTCTCACCGCCCCTGCACCTCTGGCCTGTACCCTAGATCTGTATGCACAAATAAGTAAATCTTTAAAAAAGACACACACACACAAAGTAAACTGAATATATTTGTCAAAATTAATGCAGTTCAGAAATCTGTCAAATGAGCTCACCCAAAAAAGTGTTCAAATACAATTCCAATAATTTGCACTTGTCATCTAATACTAAACATACAAAGATATTTTGGCATTATTTGTTTCCCCTTTTAAATTATTTGAAATCAAGGACCGTTTTATTAACCCAACCCCTAGTGCACACGTTTCCTTTATTTTGGTGGTTTTATCGCCTGTAGACTGGATATACTAATACAAATGAATGTTGATAAAACGCAAAACTACCCAGGACAAACTGCTCTATATCGAAAATATAGAACCCTCAAGGCTTATATGACAAACACAACTGAGCTACCTACATTAATGAGGCTGAAAAACGTCAATTCGTGTTTTCAGGGTTTCATACACATGCACACGTTTATAATTAAAAACTTTTAAGAACACTAGAAAAATACTATACATACAAAGTATTACCACTCCTATGCCCGCTTAATAACTGGCAAGTAATGTCTTTACAAATAGCTATGCTCTTCATATCTTGCAGGATAGGACTTCACAAACAGCTTTGGAACTTGTAATTTAACGCAAGTTAAAAAAAATAAAGCCCCCCCCCCAAAGTAACAAACTGAACAGGTGTCAAGTTTACAAACGCAATTTGCAAAAAGGTCGATGCCCAGGGCAAGCAGAAGTTGCAGATTTAAGGATGCTGCGGTGAGAGCAAAAGATTTTTTAAGAAAAGCAACATGCTAAAACGAAAAACTTATTTTAAAATCCAACTGCCAGCGCTTCCCCGCCCGGCGGCTGCGCAGAGCGCGAGACCGCCCCGGCGGGCGCAGACGGAGGGAAGGAGGGAGCAGAGGGAGGAGGGAGAGGCTTCGCGGGCCGCTCCCGCAGCCCGGCCGCCCGCCTCGGAGGCGCGCAGTTGCGACATTCGTGGGGAGAGGCACGCCGCAGAGCCGGCCCCGAGCCCCCCAGCGGGCCCCAGAGGCACCCCCAACCCACACTAAAGGAACCCCGGGAAAGGGAAGAGTGGATGCACAGCCCCGGCCGCCCGCGCCCTGCGCACCTCGGTACCCAATCGCCACAGTCGCAGCCGCCTCTTCCTCCTCCTCGCCCTCGTCGTCGTCGTCGTCGAAGTCGTCGGCCGGCGGCGGCTCCCGGGATAGGCCCTGTAGGCCCGGCCCATTGTCTCCTCCGGCCGCCGCCGCCTCCCGCTCCCCGCCAGCCGCCGCCTCCCGCCACAGCGCCGCCGCCGCGGCGGCCGGACACCCTCCGGCCGCTGCCGGCACCTCACGCTCGGGGGCCGCCCCACTGGGCTCGCCCGGGTTCTGCCCGGAGCCGGAGCCGTCTCTCCGCGGCCTCTTTCGAAGCGGCTCTCCAGCGGGAGGCGACGCGGCCTCCTTCTCGGCCGCCACCGCCGAGGAGGAGCCGCCGGGCTGAAGGGCGAGCGCCGCCTCGTCCGCCATCTTCCAACTGCCTCTCTGGCCCTCCTCCCTCGCCTCTTCTGCTCCCGCTCGACTCGCGGCACTGGCGCCCCCGCGGCTCCGGCTGCGGGAGATTTAAACCCCGTCACGTGACCCTCCCCCGCCCTCTCGCCGCTCCCGCCACCCACGCGGGCCGGACCACAACACGGCGGGTCACGTGGCGGGCGGGGGCGGCGTGGGCCGGGAGGAAACCCGGCCGGCGGCCGCGCCCCACCCCTCTACTGCGGGCGCCTCGATCGTGTTGCCAAACTAGCTCCTCGGCCGCTTTCTCAACTTTTCTTTTAAACCATCTTCCAGTTCCTGCCGCCCGGATGGTTCGCGTTTACTTCTCTGCGAGTTTCCACTTCTGTCTGAGGTACGCACCTTGTTTGCCTTAGCCTTTTCTGGATTTAAATTTAGGGTTAATACTCGATTCTTCGGAGGGGAAACAATGGTGGCGAAGATTTAGCCCCTGACCTATGTCAGTCGCTCGGTTTTGTTAACAGCTGTGAGTAGAAGCAGAAGGACACGACTCAGTTCTCAGCCGCCAAATTGTCCTGGGTCCTCTTGGGCCCCTGTTCTAGCCCCACCTCCACGCGCCTTCGTTAATCCATTCATGTAGATTAGCAAATCCTTGAAAGTGAGTGTCTCCACGAAAGTACCTTTAGCCTGGGCCCGTGGGATCAACCAGTCTGCTTTTTGGCCTTCTCTTGGTTCCAAATGTGTGAGTTTCCTTCCCTGAACTTTATGGGATGAGAGCAAGGGCTCACTTAAGGTGGGAAGAGAGTGAATGAGCCGGACTTGGCCACTGCACTCATCTGGTGTGGGGTTAAAATCTGAGGTTCTATACTTAATCCAGTACCTAAAGTGAGCGATTTAACCTTTCTAAACCCAATTTTCTCACCTTAGAAATGGCGGTAAGACCTATTTTGTCGGGTTGTGAGAATTAAATGAGATAGCGTGAAGTAAGGTAAGTATATCGTTATTTTAAAAAATACTAGTTCCTTCTTGAAACTCTTCCACTTTGCTTAACTAAAGATCAGTGAAGCACATGGCTGTTCTGACAGCCAGTGTTTGGAGTGCAGCATTTCTTTCTGCTTAAAGTGGGCCTGGGAGTTTATAGTGTACCACCCCATAAGCCTAACATGAAACACAGCTGTACAGTGCCTATTACTTAATGACCTTAAGCAAGCACCTTAAATTGTTAAAAAAAATAAAAATAAAAAATTTGGAAGCATTTCTAAAGTCCCAAATAAACCCAGAAGTCTTTTATACCTCAAATTAAACTGACTGTGCCATTATAACTGGTTACTTCTATTTATTTCTGAAATCGATCACATTTTTCTTCCTAGAAGCCTTGGAATCTTCACAGACCCCTTAACCAAATCTCTCTTCAGTTTCTAAGTATAAAGGGATCTGCTGCTTCTTTTCTGATTGGCATACTTGGCCCTGTTCTCTGTTTTAGCTAAGAAATATTTCATAAATTGATTCTTAATGACATTTGGGGGATTAAATATGTGAAATATGAGGGTTGGTATCCCATCCAAAAAAAGAAGCAAAATCCACCTTTTTTGAGACTTGTGAACTATGGACATCCTCTTAGTCATTCATTCATTTATTTATGTAAATTGTACATCAAAGACTTGCTAGTTTTTATGAAATGCTACCTGATCATTGTTTGCTAATGCACTAAAAGGTCAGAAGTGGGTTTTGAATGGAAAGTAGGATAAATGAGTGACAGAAATTGCATTTTAAAAGCAAGCGTCCTTCCCTGGTATGGTAATAGGTTAAAAGCACAGTACTGAAGCTGGCCTCAGCCACTTCAGCACAAGTTTGATCCCTGCCCAGGGAGGCAACTCACATGGTGCAGCAGCCCTCTCTTGCCTTGCGCCTTGCTCCCCTCAGCAGTGGACTTTGTCGATCACCTGTTCTGCTCCCCATTCTGGTCTTTGGTGAATCCTCTTACTGTGCCTGCACCTCCAGCCTGTATCACAGTTCTGTATGAATAAATAAATCTTAAAAATAAAATAAAATAAAAAGCAAGCAAGGAAACAAAAAGAAAGCATCCCCAGGCCCTCCCTAGTGGCGCAATGGTTTAGGATGCAGCACTCAAGCTGGCCGCAGCTGCTTCAGGGCCATTTCCACCCCTGGCCCGGGAGATAACCCACAGGACACAGCAGATCTCTCTTGTCTGGCCCAGTGCTCCCCTCAGCATTATACTTCATTGATCTGCCTATCCTGCTGCCCACTCTGTCTCTGTATAGTGCTATTTGTGAGTAAATGAAAGGGGGTACAAAAGAGAGAGCACATAAATTTGCTTATAAGTGTACAAAATAACAGAAGTCTCTTCTTAAGATAAATACATGCCTACCACACATTTGTACAATTTTCCCTGTGCTGCCTTCATTAGAATGAGTTCTCTCTCGTTTTTATTCAGCATATTATTTGTCAAATTATTTTTCTCTATATATTTTATTGACTATCTCCTCCAACTATAGTAAAAGTCTTGTGCATCTGGTTTACCGTTGTATCATCAGCTCTCTGGTAACTAGCATATATATTTATTGAATGAATAAATGAAAAGCATGAAAGAAAAATTGAAATTTGTGAAGAAAAAGAATTATTGAATGAAGGGTAATGGGTAAATGCAAAAAAATGGGTAAATTTAAAAAAAAGAAAAAAGGCAACATGGCTATGGAAATTTACTTCAGGTGAGAAAGCTAGTGAAACTTAACATTAGATTTCTGGTACCTTGATTGACAGAATAAGAAACCACTGTGTGTTCAGTCAGTTCAATTCTGACACTCAACATGGAGCGTCTAACAAAACTGCTCTCACTTAAGATGCCAGTCACAGGCCCCAAGCCTCTGTACATCTGACCAAATAGATAGGCATTGGGAGTTTCCCATGATTCCCTCCTAAGCGTCAATAATTTTCCTCAATGGTTAATATCCCCAGAAAGATAACATTACTTATATTTACAGAGTAAACATACCAAAAGGATACAATGAACAGTCAAATGAATATGTACATAGGGCATGGTCCAGGAAGGTCCTGAGCATAGGAGCGTCTTTCCCCATGATGTTGGGGCACATCATCCTCCCAGAACATTGTGCATTCACCAATTCAGAAGCTCTCTATATCTCTAGTTAGAGTTTTTAAGGAACTCAATCTCTAGCATACCTTGTTTCTGGATTTGTTTTCACTGTAAAACTTTTTATGGCTTTTGTACACTTTAGCATGTATATCATTACTTACCATACATTCATTCATTCAGATGTCAAACTATGTATATTAAAAAGCTTGCAAGCACGGCTATTCTAGTTGAAGTAGACTTCCTACATTTTCACCGTAGAACCCCTTAAGACATAACTGAGGAAAAAAACATTAAAGAACCATTGTGATAATTGTGTTAGGGCTGATTAACACTTACCACACATAATCCAAAATTGTCAATGGCTAAATGTAACAAAAATTTGCTTCTTTACAATAATCTAACATGTTTGTTCTTAGCTAGATGATACTTTGGGTCAGCTTTCAGTTGAAAAGAGATCAAGAGACCCTGTTCCTTCTATCTTAATGGTTCTGCAACTGGATAGGCAAAGGAGAGTAATATCTGTTAAACTCTTTATGAGCAGTGTGGAAATGATACTACTACTTCTTCACATACAGTTGCCTAAAAATCATTTATGTGGTTACTCAAAAGGAATCTGGGAAATTTATCTTTTAAGGTGACCGAATGGAGTTAAGGGAAAATAGAAATCAGTGACCAACACCAAGATGTAATCTAGCTGTGTAGTCAGTTTGTCAGCTGGATATGCTCTCAGTAACTTTATTAAGTTTCCTATAAGCCTTCTACCTAATAGATCTACTCCTTTAACAGTTTCTTTTGAAAACAAATATTCATTTTAATGTAGACTAATTTAACAGTCTTGTTCCTTATGTTGGGTTGCTTTGTTTCTTTAAATTGTGATAAAATTGGCATATAACATTGTATTAGTTTTAGGTGTATGGCATAATACACCTAAAACTATTGAGTTGTGTGAGTTGTGTGACTTGATATATGTATATGTTGTGAAATGATTAACATAATAAATTTAGTTACCCATCACCACACATTGTAACGCTTTTGTTTCTAACGCATTGGAAACTTTTAAGATTTCTCTTCTGCAACCTTTAAGTATGTAATAGAGTGTTATTGACTTACATATTTTTCCATCTAGAAGTTCATACATTGTGACCACTTTTATCCAGTTTGTCCATTCCCTCTCCACCTCCCCCTGCCCCCATCTTAGTCACAGGCAACTAGCAATTTGTTTTCTGCATAGATGTGTTTTTTTTTCTTTAGAGTCCAACTTACAAGTGAGATTTTACAGTATTTGTCTAACTTTTTCACTTAGCACAATGTCTTCAAATTCCATCTATGTTTTCACAGATGGAGGACTTCCCTCTTTTTATGACTGAATAATATTCCACGGTGTATATAAGATCAAATTTTCTTCATTGATTCATCAGTTAATGGACACTACAAGTTGTTTCCATGTCTTGACTATTGTAAGTAATGTTTCAATGAACCTTAGATGTATATATTTTGGGGTGTAGTAATTTTGTTTCCTTCAGATGTATTTACAGAAGTAGAATTATTGGTTCTGTTTTTAACTTTTTTGAGGAACTACTATGTATAGTGACTACACCAATTTATATTCCCACTAACAGTGAAAAAAGGGCTTCTTTTTCTCTACCTCTTCACCAACACTTGTAATCTTTCATTTTTTTCTAATGACTGCTATTCTAACAGGTGTGATGTGGTTTTGATTTACATCTCACTGATGATTAATAAGGATTCAGTGAACATTTTTTCATGTACCTGTTGGCTATCTGCAAGTTGTCACTGGAAAAATGCCCATTTAGATATGCTGCTCATTTTATAAGTAGATTACTTTTTCTATTGAGTTGTGTGAGTTTTAAAAGATACATACATATATATAATGTGAATTTGTGAATATCTTAATAGGATTTCTCTGGGTGTTTTTGATGCTTGTGCCACTTGCACTTACACATTATGATTCCTTTGGGTCAAAGCTAGGAAATAAAAAGAGGAAACTATGGAAACCTCAGTCTTATGTATGTCCTTCTTCACCTTTTTTCCCCCCTCGCCAGTTAGCCTACTACTAATTTTTTTCCTTCTCATGTAGTACTTTTTACATTTTTTCAAAGTTTTAAGTTTATGATCATAGGGAAAGATAGGGTATGATGGGCTTACTCACCTTCTGGTACCATAAGTCTTTAAAAAAATCTTTTCTTGATAACATCATACTTCTGTATTATAAATATATTTAGTTGAAAAAAACTTCTCTGAACGTTAAAAGTTTTAGATTGAGCTAATGCTATGGTTATTAGTATGGTACAACTTACCAAAATAACATTACTTCTGATAAATAAGAAGAAAATAAATTTTTATCAGAAGTATACATTTTAATGATGGATTTAAATTTGATCAATAAAATTTCTGCTTATAATAGTAGTTATTACTAAATAAAACAGGTTCTGAATCTTTAGTTCTGAAAAAAACATTCACATTATACATAACTATAAATTGTGATTTTGTCTTGTGATTTGTATCCGTTATATAGTTGTTTACCAATTTTAAAAACTTCCTGGTTATATGTCAAAAGCACAGTCTTCTATTTTTTTTTTTTTTAAAGATTTATTTATTTATTCATACAGAACTGGGGTACAGGCCAGAGGCTCAGGGACGGTGAGAGGCTTCACCAGAGACAGAGTGGGGAGCAGAACAGGCAGATTGACGAAGTACACTGCTGAGGGGAGCAGCGGGCGGGTCAGGAGAGGTCTGGCTCGCCATGTGGTCTCCTCCGGGGCAGGCTGCAGGCGGGAATCGAACTCATGCGGAAGTGGCTTCAGATTCTCAGTGCTGCACTCTAACCCGCTGCGCCACCAGGGAGGGCCAGTCTTCTATTTTTAAAACTATTTTTTAATAATCTCATTAAAGACAGTTTGATTAGTTCCTTTGATTTCTGGAAGCAAATAACTTGAAACTACCTGACTTTCAAAAGTATTTCTTCTTTAATTGTTAGAGTCATTCACTTTCTCATTCTGTAAGTCTAGCAAGACTTATCGATTACTATTTTTTTAAAGGCTTACAAGAAATAGGCTGTAGGCTAGAGGTGATAGGGTTCATTAGAGACAGAGTGGGATCAGAACAGTTGGATCTACAGAAATACACTGCTGAGGGGAGCAGAGGAGAATCAGTAAAGGTCTGCTGTTCATTTGTGGGTTAGCTCCCTGGCTGCAATGGCTGGTGATAGCGTGGTAACGCTGAGACTTTAACTCCTGCATCACCAGGGAGGCCAAGACTTACCATATATCGTGTAAAATAAGTTACTGTAAGCAGCAACTTTTAAATAAGTTCTAGGGATGTAATGTGCAGCATGGTGACTATAGTTAATAATACTGTATGTATTTGAAGGTTGTTAAGAGAGTAGACCTTAAAAAGTCCTTATCATACACTCAATAAAGTCCTTATCACAAGGAAAAAAATTGGAACTAAGTTTAGTGATGGATGTTAACTAGACTTTTGGTAATTATTTTGCAATAGCTATACGTATGATATGTATATATATATACATATACATTGAATCATTACTACTAAAATTTATGTAAATAATTTAATGTCTCAGTAGAATTTTAAAATTAGTACCTGAAATATCATAAGAATGTGACCAGGTATAACCCCATTTTACTCTGTAAGGTCAGTGACCACTTCTTTTCAATGTGCTCTCAGTTTTTCACCTAATACCTATCATAGAGCACAAAAACTCAATACATTTTTTTAAATTGAATTGCAAAGTCCCTCATCACTTAAACTGTATGACTTAAGTCAAGTTTTAATGCTATTCGTCAAAGGACAAAAATGAAACCAAACTGAGAAAATCAAGATGGATAATCTCTTATATGGCAATCAATTTCTAATACTGGGAAGCTCTTGGAACAGTATTTACTTAATCTAAATACTACTGCATATCTGAAAGATAATGGTATAGATCAAAATAATCTCTATAACTTAATGATGTATTGCCTGACTTTCATGCGGGATAGATTTCTCTAGAGCTAACAGGCTAACTTCAGATTAATAAGATTCCATACCTAGTAGACCTCTGAAGAACAACTGGGGCAGAAACATTGTACCAGCCTTGTGAATTTTCTTTCTTTCTTTTTTTTTTTAAAAAAAGGATTTTGCTTATTTATGTATACAGAACTGGGGTACAGTCAGAGGTGCTGGGTGTGAGAGGATTCACCAGAGACAGAGTGGGAAGCAGAACAGGCAGATCGACAAAGTACACTGCTAAGGGGAGCAGCAGGTGGGTCAGGAGAGGTCTGCCGCGCCAGGTGGGTCACCTCCTGGGGCTCGAACTCGTGCTACAGTGGCTGTGATAATTTCATAGTGCTGTGCTTTAACCGGTTGCACCACCAGGGAGGACCCTGCAACCTTGTTAATTTTCAAAGACGGTATTGGCTCAAGTTCAAAGAAACAGCAAAACCTTTTAAATGCAAGCAAAGTATGCTATAATCATTGAACTAGCTCTTGGAGAATTGAGAAATCTGCGTTAGTATATTAGTGCTACCCTGAAATATTCACTTTTTTATTTTTCAATATTTCTATTCCCATAGAAGCTGGTAGATGATATTAGCTGATTACTTTATACATTGAGCATTGTAATAGCTTTTTATGCTCTTTATCACCTATTTGGTGATAATCTTTTAAGGATTTTAGCCTTTAATTGATCATTTAATTCAATACTATTAAGTATCTATTACATATTGGGGAATGTAATACATAGTGGAATATAAACGAAGACAAAAATATATACTTCTGACTACATAGAACTTGGGAAGTATATCACTTATCACTTATATAGAAGCCATTCAATAAATATTGGAATATACTTGAGAAAACTTATGGTAGATAGAATTTTAAAATATAGCATCTGTTGCAATTCTAATGAAAATTTAAGATAGTTATATTTCAGATATACTAAATTAGCAAATTAATAAACTATGACTTGAATTCATGAGAACAGTGGCAAAGAAAAGAAATAAAGTAGATAATTAAAAATCACAGTCACCATTTTCTCATGGAAGGAAAATTACCATAAAGGTTAATAGCACCTCTAGGTAACTGGCTAAATTCCTAGGCAGTCAAAATCCTAGCCTAGAAGCACATTACTTTCTGGAACAAGATATTTCCCCTGACTTTGGAGGTTCAAGTCATATAGATTCAAAAGTAGAAATTTGTTCAAAAAAAAGAAATTTTATAAGGTTATATATCATATCACTAAAACCAGTCAAAGCAGGTTAAATCAACTTTATTCTAATAAAAAATAATCTTTTTTATTGCAAGTGATAAAACATCCTAAGCCTCTATGGCTTTTATTACCTAATTTACAATAATGCAATATAATGCATAACTAAAATATGTTACTTATAAAATTAGAGGTATGGTAAAAGTGGTCTTCCAAGCAAATGCATGTGTGCATATTGATCTTTGATAATTGTTTTTGAGTAATAGTTAAATAAGAATCATGAAATGATTCTTTTAATTCTTATTTTAATTCCTGAAATTATTCCATTAAATTTTCTGGATATCACCTTTACATTTTCTCTATGTATTTAGCAAAAGGAAACAGTAATATAATGGTAGGTAAAAGGGAAAATAAGGTGAAGTTGGTGTGCCGGACTGAGTTCTAAGTTATACACCTCCTATTGATTCTGCCTCCTGGAGTACACATCCTGTTATACCCTCCTGGGAACGCCTGTGAATAAGATAAGATAGTCATCCCCTGATTGGTTACATTCTGAAGACTTGAAGAAGTCTTCCATGTCCTGAAGTGCTTGTCCAGGGCCTCTAGGCAAGGAACTGCCTAGCCACTAGGAACATAGTGGAATCCAACTGACACCTCACAAGAAAGCCAGGACCTCAGTTTGGTAACAGACCCTCTAAGTACTGACAACCATTGAGTATGGATAAGGAAAAGAACTGCGATGATGGAACCTGCAGACCATACTTTGACTTAAGCCTGTAAGATCCTGAATAAGTGGATTCAGTTAAATTTTGCCAGGACTCCTGACCAGTGGAAACTATGGTAATAAATGTATATTGTTTAGAGCTGTTAAACTCATGGTTTATGTTAACCTTTTATGTAGCACAGAAAACTAACACAGTCTGTAGTAAGGGAATAAATGTTTTTGACACGATTTCATAAAGCATGTTATTACCATATTATTTAAAATAATCCATACAGAATCTAAAGGAAGTTATGTAAAATATTTATTTATGGTTTTAATCCAGAATCAAAAGCTTCTGAAAATTTTGATAATCCAAGAAACTTTGGAGTTGCATTTAAGAGAATCAGCCTTACTATGCTGTTCTGCCTCAGTTTTCAATTGTGTTTGCTTCCCAGCTAGTGACACATCCCAGGGATTAGTGTTATAATAGATGAAGAGAATTTGCAAAATAAATTCTTAATAAAAACTAT